CAACCTTTTGGACCTCAGGGACCACCAAACTCATAATTTTAAATCCCACTTGGACCACTAATATGAATTTTGACTGATGGTGGCTTGCTGGTGTTGGTGGGGAAGTCAGTCCCATATCCCAGAGCTGCAGGAATCACAGGACTGGCCCTTTGGTCATCCCGGAGCAGCTACTCCACCACATGGGTGCACCGGCCTGCCATGGACTGAAGAAGCTGCTCTGGGGTGACCAAAGGACCGGTCCTGTGACTCCTGCAGCTCTGGGATATGGGACCGACTTTCCCACCGACGTCAGCAAGCCACCCTGGGGCGGATTTCCCTCCCCTGCCGTTGGTCTTACCTTCCAGTTCCAGCCTGCATGGCTCTACTCAAGGTAAGGTTTGCGCTTGGCTGAAGAGTGGGGGCCAGCGGGTGGGCAGGCCATGTGGTCAGCGCAGCCTTGTGTTCCCGCGTGGCCTGGATTATTTGCTTTGGGGGCGACATTTCTCTGCGGACCACCAAAATTTTCACACGGACCACCAGGGGTCCCCAGCCCACCGGTTGGTGACCACTGCTCTAAAGCAGTCTATCTGCTGGCCCTCCAAGGACAACCGCCAAGCCACCAGAAGGCCATCGTAACCACTGTCTAAACTTTGGAGGAACTCAATTGCTATCTCTGCTTCTTCTGTTCCAGGTCAAGGACTCTGTGGCCCTTGACTAGTTTGGAGCCGTTTCTGGCTACTTGGGTGTGCGATGTTCTCCTGGGTGCCCAACTGACAGACAGGGTGGGAGGGGAAGCCTCGTGGCTTGAAGGAAGAAAACAATGGGAGAGATAAGCCCGGCTCCTAGGCGATCTATGACTTGTGGGGATCAGCCCAATCCAGGTGTCTTAGCAAAAGAAAATGCTGGCTTACTCTGAATCTCAGGGTACTTCATCATCAGCAGAATGGTCCACTGCAGAGTGGTGGCCGTGGTCTCCGTCCCAGCCATGACAAGGTCAAGAACTGAAGCCACGACATTGGGGTTGTGAAATATCTTCTTCTTGCCACTCTCTCCCTGAAACACAAGAGGCAAAAATTGGTTTGGTTAAAGAAAAGAATGTGGACTGGGAAGGCAGATTGGTGTGAGTGTGTATGTGTGTGTGAGAGAGAGAGAGAAAGAGAGAAAGAAAGAAAGAAAAAGAGAGAAAGAGAGAGTGAAATAGAGAGAGAGAAAGAGAAAGAAAGAGAGAGAGTGAAAGAGAGAGAGAAAGTGAAAGACAAAGAGAACACGAGAGAAAAAGAGAGTGAGAAAGAGAGAGAGATAAAGAGAGAGAAAGAAAGAGTGAAAGAGAAAAAGAACAAGAGAGAAAAAGAGAGAGAAAGAGAAAAAGAACAAGAGAGAAAAAGAGAGAGAAAGAGAGAGAGAGAGTGAAAGAGAGAGAGAGTGAAAGAGAAAGAGAGAGAGAAAGAAAGAAAGAGAGAGTGAAAGAGAAAGAGAACAAGAGAGAAAGAAAGAGAAAGAGAGAAAGAAAAAGAGAGAGAGAGTGAAAGAGAAAGAGAGAGAGAAAGAAAGAGAGAGAGAAAGAGAAAGAGAACAAGAGAGAAAGAAAAAGAGAGAAAGAGAAAGAGAGAGAGAGAGTGAAAGAGAAAGAGAGAGAGAAAGAGAGTGAAAGAGAAAGAGAACAAGAGAGAAACAGAACAAGAGAGAGAAAGAAGAATTATAATCCTATACATCTCAGGAACCCAGGTTGGAAAATTATTTGAGGATGCGGTTAAGTTTTCTGTGGTCGCCTAACGGAGCAGAGGGAAACGGCAAAGCCGGCAAAGCCTTGGAGCCCCCAACCTCTTGCTGCTGTTTGAACAGCATGGAGTCGATGTAGCTTTGCAGCTGGTTCCGGCTCAGCGTCTCCTTGCTGGCTCGCATGTATTTTTCGATGATGGCACAGGTTTCTTCGATCCTTTTCAAGATCATCTTATGGGGTTTGAGAAGGAATCCAAGGAAGGGATAGACGTTATACACCTGCAAAAGAGCAAATGAACCGAGATCAAACCCATAAAGAGAACGAGGTTACACTCTGGTGCCAGTTCCTTTAGTCAATGTTTTTAGGATCTTCTTCGTGGGGAACTGGGGAACTTCAGAGCTTTAACTATGGAAAGGCTCAAATTTTAATTCAACATTTTGAAGGTACGAAGAGCAGCTATTCTCCATGTATGTGTGTGTGTGTGTGTGTGTTTTCTTAAGTTAACAAAGCTGAATAACATACATACATACATACATACATACATACATACATACATACATACACATATGTCTATCTCTATCTATCTATCTATCTATCTATCTATCTATCTATCTATCTATCTATCTATCCATCCATCCATCCATCCATCTATCTATTTAAATAGAAAATAAATTTTGGCTTTTAGGGGAAGTCGACTGGCTTTTTCTAGACATCATCCATAAATGTAAGTTTGAGAAAGAAAAAACACTTTCTGGAGGGGAAAAACAACCAAAAGACAGCAATGAAATTTCTTTTGAAAAGGGAACAACTTAAAAAAAAAACACCAAAAATTTAAAATGGCCCTTTTAGAAATCTGGTAGAGCACAAAGGAGTCAGAGCCATGGGAGCGCAACAGATTTATTCCTGATCTTTAGCATTTAAAAAAGAATCATTCCAGAAATTTCAGAAATTATTAATGGGGTTGAAAATTAATGGGGTCAAAGCCGTATCCAAATAAGCCAGGAGGAAATGGGACAGCCTGGAATGGCTGGTCTTTTTCTTGTGCAAAGAATATACTGGACTCCATCAAGAGAATGAAGGGGAAAAAATTATAACCAGAACATATCATTCCGAGTCCAGAACTGCCCTTGGCAATCTCCGGCCTGAATGATGTTTTGGCTCCTGTCATTCTCTTTTCTGCTTTCTGGGGGGGAATGTGGGACTTAATGCCAACACATCTAGAGGCCCTGACAGGGTGTCTCTCTTCCCTCAATTTCCACAGCCCTGAACATTCCTCCTTTCCTTCCAGGGAGCTTTTCCAAGCCGCTTATTTGGGTTGCTCCGCTGCGCATCTTTCTATCCACAAGCGTTTCTTTCGAAAGCCAGAAGCATTCACATTTGCAAAACGAAGGGTCCTTGGGGCTCATGGAGTTGGGTGGTTTTCTTGCAGGTGTTTTATGACCCAAACTAGGTCGCATCATCAGTGCAATCCCCCACTCCCTTCTAGCATTGATGATGTGACCTAGTTTGGTGGTGAAAAGTCTGCAAGAAACCAAACAAGCTCAGAGAACACCAAGGATCCTTCATTTCTTCTCCTCCCTCCTGCTCCTCCTCCTCCTCCTCTTCTTCAGGATACGGACAGAGTGGAGGGTTGCAAACCAGGGTTTGCTTTCGACTCTAAAACCACCAGCAGTTGAAAAACCACCTCTGGAGATCTGTGCAGATTCTCAGCCATCCAGGTCAATGCTTTCTCAAGAGGCAAATGGACACATCTTGTTTTTTCTTTCAAGACGTTTCGCTTCTCCTCCAAGAAGCTTCTCCAGCTCTGACTGGGTAGTTGGGAACGGAAGGATTTATATTCCTTGCAGACAGAGCTGGTCGTTTGCATCCTTTTTAGAGAGGCATTGAGGCCACCTGGAGGTTGATCTGCATCCTCAAAGTCACCTAAGTAGTGCAAATAGGTGGGGGAGACTTCTTGGAACTATTCCAAGTGGCCTCATCGACTCTCTAAAAAGGATGCAAACAACCAGCTGTCTGCAAGAGGTACAAATCCTTCCATTCCCCACCATCCAGTCAGAGTTGAAGAAGCTTCTTGGACAAGAAGTGAAACCTCTTCAAAGAAAGAAAGAAAAAAAACCAGAAAGTCTTGACAAAAAAGTGCCTTCGGGGCCTCTTGGAATGCTTTTTGCCCATGGTTAGGAAAAGCAAAGGAAGATCATCTTACATGTAAGGGCGGAGCCCCCAGAAGACCCATCACTTCTTCGATGTTTCTTAGGAGGATGGTGAAAGTTGGGTCGGCGTAGTCAAACCTCTCTCCAAAGAGGATGATGAAGGTGATATTGGTCGGAGCTGCAGAGAAGGTCTTCAATGCAAAAGGCTCGCCTTAAAAAAGAAAGAAGAAGAAGAAGAAGAATAGAAGACGATTCCAAGAACAGACGAAGGATATAAAACGGTGAAGGTGAACCTACGGCATGCATGCCAGAGGTGGCACAAAGAGCCCCCTCAGTGGGCACTCGCACCATCGCCAGCTGCTCTTCTGGTTTCTGGCATGCACATGCGTGCCAGCCAACTGGTCTTTGCGGGCGCTGGAACGCCGAAAAATGGCCTGGAAAACAGCTCAGAAAACGGTCTGGAAATGGCCCCAAAACAGGCCATTTTCCAAGTCATTTCCCAGGTTGTTTTCCTGACCATTTTCTGCCTGTTTTCAGGCTGGTTTTTGGGCCAGTTTTGGCATGAAAAACAGCCTCAAAATGCCCCCCCCCCAAATGGCTTGAAAACAGGCCTGCATGCACCGGCCAGCTGGTCTTTAGTTTTCCGCCACTCCAGCCACACACATGCACACACCCGCCTGCGTGTTCCAGTTTGGGCACTCAGTGTGGAAAAGGTTCGCCACCACAGCTCTAGAAGAACCCAGGATGAAGATCGGAAGAAGAAGCCTCTCACCTTTGAAGGAGTTGACCTTCTCAACCAGGAAACTGAGCTCCTCGCGCATCTTTCCTTCGATCAGGGAAGTGCCCATCCCGAGGTCCCGTATCGCGGTCAAGGTGAACCGGCGTGTGTCCTTCCATATTTCTCCAATGGAGAAGAAAATACCTGAGGAACACACTCCCTTCATTCATATCCCATCAAAGGAGGATCGTATCTCATAGAAGAGAATTCCCAATTCTATAATTGGTCAGCCTTATTTCTCTCCATATTAGCTCCACGGAGCAGAGAAGAAACGGGAATGAAGGTGACCAGAAATCAGAGCCTATCTAACAGCAGAAATCTTTCAACAATGGATGGAACCTGTTATGATATGTACAGAATAACCCTTGAGTAACAAGGATATCCACATGGAAACATTTATGAGAGTAGTTATGAATAATTATTCAGCCACACACAGCTACACTAAATTGAGTTAAAGTTTACTTTAAGAAATAGCCCAGTCCAATACACGGTCCAGGTCATAAACGTTTAACAGTCCAAAGAATTTTGACTTGTTTGAAGGACATGACATCAAAGTTGGATCAGCCTGTAGTGTTTTTTTCCACTTTAATTTTGAGTGTAACTCCAAATCCAGACCTCCATGGGTTGCTAATTTTGATTTCCATTGATAATTTTTGTGGGATTTTGTTGTCAGCACATTCAACTATGTAATGAACAAAGTATTTAATAAGAATATTTCATTCATTCAGATCTAGGATGTCTTATTTTTGTGTTCCCTTTATTTTTTTGAGCAGCGTATATAACATGTAAAGGAAGAACACTCTGATTCGGCCACCTCCTTTTACTTTCCTTCCGTTGCACCTTTGGAAGGCTGGACTCTAAAGATCAGCTATCTCATTCACCCCCAAGCATGGTTACCTTTCCCGTGTTGGATCTGTAAGAATATGGGGATGGGAGGCCGGTCGACAAACTCATTTCCTTTGCTCAGGAGGGCCTCTTTCACCGCCTCGTAGCCGACCAGCACCACAATCTTCTGCAGGCCAAGATGGAGCGTGAAGACAGGGCCATAGGTTTTGGAAAGCTGGAGGAGGAAACAAAAGAGAAGACATTCAGGACTTACTGTTGCCGAGCACTGGAATCCTGTGAGGCTAACAGATAATTAGAGTTGGAAGGGACCTCGTAGGTCATCTAGTCCAACCCACCACCCAAGCAGAAGACCCTACACCATTTCTGACAAATGGCAGTCCAATCCCTTCTTGAAAGCCTCCAGGGATGAAGCTCCCACAACTTCCGAGGGCAACTTCTATTCCATGGGTTGATTGTTATCACTGTCAGTAAGGCAGGACATAAAATATATATTAATTTTAGAGAAATAATGATAACAATAACGATAGATAGTGAAATATGTGGTATTAGCAAGAAAAAGAACAAGGAACTGTGAAATGCCACACCCCAAGGATCATCTATCGGTCACAAAGTCATACTTGCCAAGATATCTTGTCTCGCTTGTAAGCTAGGGAGTTTAGCATGATGGGTTTGTGACATCCAGCCATCCTAGCCTAGCAACAGGGAAGGGGGAAAGCTGTGTTTCACGTAACCAATGAATGACTGACAAGTTATGACTGACAATGGATGACTGACAAGGTATATTTCTGTGTTTTGCCCCTTCTGAAGAAGTATATAGGCATGTGCTGTTCAATAAGAAAGTTGTTCAGAAGTGACTCTCACTAAAATACTCTGAACCTGCGCAAATAAAACCAACTTATTTTTGGATTCCAAGGTCTGAGTCTCGTAATTTCCTGCAACATCAGAACGTTTCTCCTTATTTCCAGGTTAAATCTCTCCTTGTTCAGCTTCCATCCATTATTCCTTGTCTGGCCTAGAGGCGCTTTAGAAAAGAGCTTGACCCCCATCTCCTCCCTGTGGCAGCCCAATAGCCCCTTTCTGTCCAACAGATATTATTAAAAGTCGTAAGTTTCAAAGACTGCTCAAGTTTGGTTAGTTGGAAGGGGGCTACCACACCCCTGCAGATGTTTGGCTCCTCCCCTACAAAGATCCACTCTGACAGGAAGCAGCCCTTGCAGTCTAAACCAAGGCGAGAGAGAAGCCAACTGAGTTCCTTGGGGGAAGAAGGTCCTCCCACCATCAGGGTCCAAAAAGACTCTCCCTGAAGGACCCACCTCCTGAACCTCTCTGGTTAGGAGTCTCCAAACTTAGCAACTTTAAGACTGGTGGCCTTCAAATCCCGGAATTCTGGGAGTTGAAGTCCACAAGTGTTGAAATTGCCAAGTTTGGAGACCTCTGGGTTAGAGGAACATTCTCCTATGAGATGGTAAATGTCCCCATCTGAGTTCATCGCATTGAGAAGGAACAATCAAAGTCTGTGCTCATCAGGTCTTCTTCTCATGATCTTCCTGGAATCTAGCATGGAAAGTTAGATGGCCCCCAAGTCCCTCTGACAGAAAGCTGTGTGACATCACATCAGACTTTGCCCTCTCCTGGCCAATGTTGTCTAAACCTTTTGGACCTCAGGGATCACCAAACTCATCATTTTAAATCCCCCCCAAAGTGTGCAGGAAAATCCTCCAACCCGTTTTCCTACCGACCGACCGATCTTTATTTGGGATCGCAGGATACTGTCTCTAGCTCCGTTCTCAGGAGGGGGGGAGGGAGAGAGAGAGAGAGAGACTTTTGGCTTCATTCAAGGAAAGCAGCAGAAGCAGCCGAAGTCTTCCTTTCTCTCCCCCAAACTCTGCCAGAAATGAGTCTTTGTGAGCCTCTTGGAGCAGGAGGCCTTGCAGGGTCCCAAAGACTCATTTCTGGCGGAGTTTGGGGGAGAGAAAGCAAGACTTTGGCTGCTTTCCTTGCGTGCAGCCAAAAGCAGAAGAAGAAAGAAGCGGAAAGAAGTGTCCTGGTGGCCAGCCAAGGCACGTGGGGTGAGTGGGGAAAGTCCCCCCCCGCCCTTTCCCCCCCCCACTCCCTACCTCGTGTTTTTCGCAATGCAAGCGACACAAGCTTTGTGTTCCTGCGCAGCCTAGATTAATTGCTTGGGGGGGGGGCATTTCTCTGTGGACCATCAAAATTTTCTCATGGACCACCAGTGGTCCTCAGCCCACCAGTTGGCAACCACTGGTCTAAACTAAAGTTTCAGATGGGAAAATATCTTCCCATCACTCTCCCTGCTCTTTTAAGTGACAAAATAAATCTCCAATTCTCTGCTTGGATTCTATCTATGGTAGCCCTGTTTTGTGTATTTATTTGGCATACAACCCCTCCCAATGCAAGCGACATAATACACTGCCTGACACACACACACACACCCCTTCTACAACTGGGGGAGTTTCCACAGAATATAGTTATTCTTCTGTCAGAGCAATAACACAACCTGTGAAACTACATTAAGGTTGGGTTGACAGAGAGAGCCATCAATACTAGGAGCACCAATTCACATGACATTTGGTGCGGATTAACACCCCTTGAAATGCAAAGCACATTTTAAAGCAAGTATAGTTGTACCTGCCTGTTTTTAAACTTGGCATAGGAGGGCTCAAGAAATTCCAGGTGATAAACGCCTAGATTTTTTTATGACACCTAAAAATATTCTTTTTTTTTTTTTTTAGCTTGTTCAAGTTAAGTCATCAATTCTGTCTGTTAATTTTTGCTAATAGCTCATTTCTGGGTTGGGTTTGTTTGAGCTTTTTAAAATTGTTTTGAAAAAAAGCTTCGGCACAAAATTTTTAAAAAATCCACTTGTCGTTGAGAATAACATTTCGTTCATCCGATAACAGGAAAGTCTAGTGCAGAAAATCGGCTCGTGTTTAAGGTATGAGCAAACGTTCAGATTTCACCACAACATGCCTTCTCTGCTGGGAACTTTTTCAGAGTCTGCAAGCAAGAGTATTTGGGCAGATATGACTCCCTAAACCCTGTGGGACCATCCTTATCTGCCATAACCTTTAAGAATGGCTAGAGTTCTGCCCTCATGTGTTGTAAAGAGACATCAAAAGAAATATAGAATATTATTTGATCTCTTAATAAAGTTTTGGATGGGAGCAGTGGTGAGATTCAAATAATTTAACAGCCCTCATGATTTCTTCCAACAACCAGTTCATCAAACTGCTCAAAAAGTTAACAACTGGTTCTCCCAAACCACTGTGAACTGGTTGAATCCCACCACTGGATGGGAGGGCAATCAAGACAAGTCAAAGACAACCACACCAGTAGATACTCTGGCAGTAATATATGATGTGTCTATAGCATAGCAGCTGCAGTACAACTGTACCCATGCAACCGTGCAGTACCATGCACTGTACCCATGCATACAGATTTAATTTATCCCCAGGCAATATGAATATTAGGAGCAGAAAGTGAGCTTTTACATGATTCAAATCAATCCAAAACATGGTTTAAACCAAAGATTTAAATAGGATTTAAAACCAAAGTAAACCAACCATGATTTAAATCAAACCAGGGTCTATCTATACTGTTACATCTCCATAACTTTACTTCTCAACCTGCAGAGTCTTTGACAACCATCCAGGTCATTCCTGCTGATAACAGAAGGTCTAAACCATCACCCCTTTGCTCCTTACCTCCATAAATGAGACATCTTGCCTTTTAATATTTATCAAATGCAAATTGCCAATGATAGGGAGCGGAGTAGGTCCAGGAGGCATAAGTCGAGATGACCAGCTGAAGTTGCTCAGAAACAGACTCGCTAACAGCAGCAGTAAAATCAAGGAGAAGATGATGGTTGGGTTGAGGAGGAAGGATGTCCAAGGAGCCATGTTGACAGGAGCTTTGGAGATGAAGAATGGGGAAAGGCTCTGATGGAGCAAGTTTAGAAAAGGTATTTTTATTTGGTAAGAAACCAACTTGGCAATTCTTCAGAGTTTGTGAAATGGCCCATGCCAGAGTTCCAGCCTTCTTCATAAATCCTCCCCCAGAATTTGATATGCTGGGTTATATAACTCAAAGTGTCAAAATTTCCTTAGTCACTTCAAGATGGAAATCATGTGCTTTACTCAGGGGCGTCCACTATTCTCGAGACTCGGTCAAATTCTGGACAGCCCATAAGCAAAATCTGGTCAGGATTCAGTGCATTTTTTTTTCAATATCAGCTTTCACCACAAAGGATTTGAGTCAATAAATTTAGTGATTTAAGGCACATTCCACCTTCAATTTGTATTCAAAAAAGAATCCAGAGAATTTGTTTCATCTGAAACTGAACAGAGGCCATCTGTCAACAAGAGGACATTTGGCAAAGAGAACAGGGGAGTGCTAGAAAGGTGAAATCCTCAAATCGAACGATTAAAAGAAATGTGATAACTTTCAATGCATGTTGGCAAGAATACAGAATCTTCTGAAATGCTAGACTTTGGTAACTCAGGGAGGCAATAATTGGTGGAATCTAAGAGGAAGTTGGTTGATTTTACATAACAGATGCTTCGGTCTCCTTCATCTGAGGAGGCCTCCTTTCTGTTGCCCCATGGCTTCCTCTCTTCCATCTTTTGGGGAACAATTTTCATGGCGGAGAGCTTAACTTTTGCCTATTAACTCTTCCAAGCAATGACTTGCAGGCTTGGTCACGGCAAGGGCCCTTGCTTTGCACAGAGGGTCCAAAATCTCTCAGCATATTTGCATTTGGGCACAAGGGAGGTCAACACCTCCTCCTTAATTCCAAGTTCATAGCTTGTTGTGAGATGGGCAGTGTTCTAAAAATCCTATACATAAATAAAGTCAGCCTCCCTGAGATTTCTCCCACATAGCAGCTGTTTTTCATAGAACAGATACCTCTCTACAAATGGACTCTCGGCGCTTCCTGGTCTCCAAGTCAAAGCACAACCATTTTCACGGACTTTGAGGTCCAAGCGATGGTCACGTCTTTTGTTACCCTTGTCCACTATTCAACCCGTTCCTCTTCTCATGCCTTTCAACTGTTTGTCTTCCAACTGTTTTGTTCTAGATCATTTATGATGTCGCTCTAGGAACGAGACTGGTATAACCATCTCCTGCTCTCTGTTCCTTTGGGCCAATGTCTCTTGAGAATCGTTTTGCAAATTCAGACTCTAAATAGCAGCTAGAGGTGAGTGCCTCAGAGTAGCACCTGAGAGAGCTAACCTATTTCCCATTGAGCAGAGGGTGTATGTTTATTTATTATTTTATTTTGTCAAATATGTACAAGATAACAAGTATAGGTATGAACATAAACAAGAACGAAGGGAGTAAATACAGATGAATGGGGACAGTGACACAGGGACGGTAGGCATTCTGGCCGCCTTTAAGGACCTCTTAAGAATGGGATGAGGTCGACGGTAGACAGTTTGAGGTTGAAGCTGTGAGCGGTTGAGGCTGTAACCATGGAGTCAGGTAGAGCACTGTGGCTGAAGTCGTATTTTCTGCAAACCAGTTTGGAGAGGTTTACCTTGAGTTTATACTGGTTGTTTGCCCGTGTATTATTGTGGTTGAAGCTGAAGAAGTTGTTGACTTCTTCAAGGGATTCTTCAATATGTAAAGATAATAGATGAAGATACAGGAAAAGCAGGGGTGGGATGCTACTAGTTCACACCTATTCGCTAGAACCGGTTGTTAACATTCTAAGCAGTTCGGAGAACCGGCTGTTAGAAGAAATTACTGGCCTAATCCTGTAAGGAAGGCAGGAAGGAAACATTCTGGTGTTGCTTACAGAAACTGCCTCTCTGTTAACCCTTATTACATTCTTGGCAGGACTAGACTTCCTGTCTCAGGAACTTTCCTTCCTTTGCTGGTACTTTGCTTGTGTGGAGTGACCATTCAAAGTTACAATGGCGCTGAAAAAAGTGACTTATGACCATTTTTCACACTGTTCACATGTTGCAGCATCCCCACAGTCGTGAGAGGCCAGGCGAGGAGATGCATGCCTCGATGTGAGTGATGTTGAGTTGGCCACACCCAGCCAGTCACATGACCACCAAGCCACGCCCACCAACTAAGCCACACCCATAGAACCGGTTGTTAAAAATTTGAATTCCACCCCTGAGGAAAAGATATCTAGGACTTCAGTTCCATGACTGAAAAGCAAGACATTGTTACAAGATATTGTTAAAAACAAAAGCAAAACAAGAGAGGTCCAAATGAGCATGCAGAAGTCCGCTGTAACTGATTGTTCCTTGCAATGTTTATCATGGTTTAACACCAAGAACTGGATCTGGGACTCAGATTTTGCCAGGTTTTGCCAGAGAAAGCGAGAGATCCTTTCTCAAAAACACAACCAGTATCCTAAGCTTTCAGGTTGCCTGGGCCAACAGTTGGGATGAGTCAATAAAAAGTGAATTTATAACTAACACGCATGATCGCCAGGCTCTTGCAACACCCTTCTGAGCTTGGGACAGGCCAAGGCTGGTTTTCTGAGCTGGATTCACTCAGAAGGTCAGCAATTTTGATGACTTATGGACAAAACAAATCTGTAGAACTGGAGCAGCAGGTTAAAAATTAAAAATGAGGGACCCAACATTTTACCCAGAAGCCAAAAACTTCTGTGAAAAATTAACTGCTGGCAGATGCAAGGGGTCAAGGCGGTGCCAAGGAAAATGCTATGGAGGAGGGAACTTAGAAGAGAATTGTGGTTGTGCACTTCTTGCAGACACAATTATATCCAACTTTAGTTTCTCTAATTTATTAAATATTCTTTTCCTTCTGATTGCTGAATTTATATTAATCATCATACGCTTAGTTTCCACTTCCATGGTTTTATTTATCATATGCTGTGGTTGAAGCACAGTTGACTTATATCTGGGAGGGAGACTCTGGATTGAAATATTTGAAATTCTTGGAGGGGGAGCCAGGTTGGAGAAGAGAAAAACCACTTACTCTGTCACCTTTTCTTCTGCAAGGGGAGAATGAAGAAAAACAGGCTCTGTCACAGGCTTGATGAGGGGGTCATTTAAACCAGGGGTGTCCAACTTGGCCACTTTAAAGACCGGTGGACTTCAATTCCCAGCATTCCCTACGGTGGCTGAGGAATTCTGGGAGTTGAAGTCCACAGGTCTTCAAGTTGCCAAGGGTGGACAACCCTGGTTTAAACAAAGGGCTTTAAGAGCGCTGGAAACAATTACAGGTAAGTTCTTGACTTACAGCCATTTGCTTAGTGCCCACTGGAAGTTGCGACGGCATTGAAGAAAGCAAAACTTACAACCGGTCCTCATATTTATGACCGTTGCAGCATTGCCATGGTTACATGATCAACATTTGGCTCTTGGCAATGCCCATGTTGTATAGATGTGGTTGCAGGTCCTGGAGTCAACTGATTGGGACATAGAATGCCTTTTTAATTCTGCTCTTCTGTCCTCCATCATGACCGGCGTAAACCTGAGATTCAGTTCCCAACATCTGGAAAAAACACAGGTGGGTCCTTGATCTACCACCATTCATTGAGCAGCCACTCACAGTTATGATGGGGCTGAAAGAATGGTTAGTTACAACCACTATCCTCAGAGTTCTGGCCGCCCCAATAACCCCACAGTCATGTAATCTGGGCCCTTGCTAACCAGCTCACACTTACAACTGGTTGCAACGCCCCACGATCAAGTGATTACCAGTTGCAAACTTTCTTGCTGGCTTCCTTAGAAAGACACTGGGGAAGCCAGCAGGGAATATTACAAGTCATTGGGGGTAAATCTCTCCCCCAACAGCAAAGATTGAGTATACTTACTATACTTTGCAATTAAGGAAGAACAAAGTTAGAGGATAAACTCTCAAACCCTCTTTGGATTATAATTCTCTAGATGATTGGGTTTTTTTCCTTCAGCCAGCAGAGGTCACTACTATATTGCAACTTCAGCTATCGAGAAGTCACTAACACACAAGTGTCTTTGCAATCTACGCATCCAGCAAACGGGTCAGATAGGCAGCTGCATGGGAAGGTTTCTCCACCTCCCAACAGTGGATCTGTAGCTCTAAGGTTTGCTAAGTATAGATACTCTGGGAAGCTTCCCTTCCATTGTAGAGGGACTTTATTACTGCTGAAGGACAGGAAAACTTAGTCCATCTTTCTCAGCCTGATACTCTTCTCAGCCTTTCTACCAAAACATTTGGAAAAGTTCAGGTTGAGGAAGGGGCTCCATGGGAATTCTACGAAGGGCTGAATAACCCTACTCTCAAATCCTGAAACCATCAGGCTCAGGAGATGGTGGCACACCATGAATATGCTCTGAGAGAGGTCCTTGGTGTTCTCTGAGCTTGGTCTTTTTTGAAGACCTTTCATTAGCCAACTGAGGTAACATCATCAGTGCTAGCAGTATTACTTAGTTTGGGTTAATGAAACGTCTGCAAGAAAACCACCAAGCTCAGAGATCATCAAAGACCTTTCATTTCAACCCTGTACTACAGACATTCTCCTTTATCAACAATGCTCTGTCCACAACACTCCACCAAAATAAAGAGATGGATATTTTGACTCCCACTTATAAATGCCTAGCTAGCAGAATACTGACAGTTGGTTGCACGGCAGAAGAAAACAAGAACTTTTGGATGTCTACCATCTCAACCACGCATTTCATTCTACCCAGATTGGGTATAGAATGGCTTTCAGAGAGATTGAAGTACATTCATGGAGAGGATGCTCTTGTGATCATTGGCGGCGACTGATGTAAGAGAGATCCACGTTCAGAAGACTTTAACTGAAAGTTGGCTCTTTGCAGTCAAAAGTTCAGAAGGATTTATTCTGAGGGCTTCCATGCGAAGCAGCTAAATCTTTGGTT